ATAAATGACATCTCAGATTAAATATCCTTTGTTGGTGAGGTTATGGTACTTGAACTGGGAAATATGTTGTCAGCTGCTAAGGGTATCCTGAAACCTTTATTTGTTAAAATGTTGGAAGAAACAGTAGGCGCATTTTTCATATTTATTTTTGAATGTTTATAAAATATAGTTACGTGTAGTGAACAATGTCATCTCAAGCCCCTCTCTGTTTTCAGGCTACTCGACATGCAGAAATGGTGGCCATTGATCAGGCCCTAGATTGGTGTCATCAAAATGGCAAGAGTCCCTCTGAAGTGTTTGAATGCACTGTGCTGTATGTCACCGTGGAGCCATGCATCATGTGCGCAGCCGCTCTCCGCCTGATGAGTATCCTTCAACTTAATGTGGTAACGTCTCGCACCCTCCTATGAACTTGAAAATGGCCACACATGTAACCCGTTCCTGATGTATGAAAGCAGAGATTTATGAAATAAATTCTAGGAGGTGCACATTATAAAATAGACTATCCTTTGGCCAAAAATTTTTAGAAAAGGTTTTTAAATAGTAAAATTACCTTTTTCTTATGTCTATAAACATATAACTATTAAGTAAACTAGAGAAAGAAAAGTTTAGAACTAATTTAAAGTGTTATGAAAGGATAAATTATATATTAAGTTAAAGTAGATTATAAAACTGTGCATAGGAAAAGGTCTGAAGAATATACACCTAAGTTTTGCCTTTGGATAATAGATTAAAGGTGATTTAAAATTTTTCTTTCTCTGTCTCTATATTTGTATTTGTTTATTTTTGCCATGAATACCTCTTATAATAAATGAAAAATTTTAATTCACAAGTCAATATAAAATAAAAAACAAACCAATCATTTATGATATTATCATTGTAAATAAGTGGGAAATTGATAAAGTTACAACTCTTTGAATCGTGTCTTTTACAGAGCAAGTGGCATAAATACTGAGTGCTGCAAGTTAGTCTCTAAAGATCTTTAAACAATTATTTACAAATTCAAAAACTCAGTTTTATACTCGCATATTTTTTATCTACTTATTTTGTTATATACGTGTGAATCATTTTATCACTTTAAAAATAATGTGGAGCATTTTGAGTTTGTTAAGATGTACAATCTCTACTTTTTAAAGAGGGGAGTTATGTCAACAGAATTCTCTCCTCATCCCGCCTTATAGAGTGGCTCAGCTTCAGTCTGTTTTGAACTGAAGCACTGGTTATATTTTTTCTGGGGCAAGAATAGGAAATAGTCTATTATTTTTAAAAGGTGAAAATTCTTGGATTAAATTCCTGCCTCCTTTCTGGCTCCAGTTTTCTAATGAGTCCTAAAAAGTGATTTTGTAAAAAGCAGATCAAAGAACACCAAACTGTAAACATTTAGAAACTACACATTTAGTTTTCATTCTGTTTGCAATCGTGAGATGTTAATTTCTAAATCCGTTAAACCTCTTTCTTTTGTGTAACTGGACTTCATAATGTTTTAAGCCTAAGCCTAAACTTAATCGTTTTTAAGAGTAGCATGAGGTTTTTTCTCCAGAATAGCTGGCATAGACCTACCCTAGTTTTGTCATGATACACACTTGAACTGCACATTCTCTGCATGACCTTAATTCTGCCTTATAAATCCCGCTGGTTGTCTATGGCTGTCAGAATGAACGTTTTGGTGGTTGTGGCTCCGTTTTAGATATTGCCTCTGCTGATTTACCAAATACCGGAACACCGTTTCAGGTAACATGAACTGTTATGCTTTTTCTTTCTTTCTAATACTTTGCTCTCATCAGAGGCTTGTGAGTGGTTTGTGTGTGGTGGGTATAGCAGATAGGCTCTCAGGAGTACTGGTCACGTTCATTTATGTCTCAGTGTTAGATGACAGACCGTCATTTCCAGGTGAGTGCCTAGCTCTTGTCATGAACCAGCCTTCCTTCACCTGTGCCTTCAGGTCTCTTTGACGCCATTACCAGCATTGGCGTTTCTAGCAGTGAGTGTCCCCGGCTCCAGGCTTCAACACGTATGTTTGAAGCATGCCCTCGGCAGTGGCAGTAGATGCTATTTACAGTGAATGCCATATTTTTGCACAAATTTAATCTTTTTACTTGATTGCCACATACTATTTTTGGTGTCTAGCCATCAATACCTGTATTTAAATAATTTTATGTCCAATGTTAAATAATTTTAACGTTGACGTTTCTCCCAGACCCAAGAATCCACATTGCTTTCATGTTCTCTTAGACAGTCTACTTTCCCTTTAATCTTGCCACTTCTCCCAAAGTTTTATGTCTAAGGCTGTGTGTAGGAGGAATTTATATTTTAGCATTTGGCCTGTAGACACATATGTTTTCAGAAACTTGTTTGATTGTTTTTCTCACTAAGACGTGAGGTTAATCCTAAAGGTGTTAGGCTTTAAGGAGAAAAGGATTTAACAAATGCTGGACATGGTGGGCAGTTAACTTCAAAGACCTCAGATCTTCTTAGGAGAATATTAAGTTCTTATCAGGAGCTACATTTGGCTGAATCCCGCTGAGATCAAGTTTTGGAAAATATTCCGAGTTTTCCTAAGTGAACGTTAGCTTTCCTAACAAACCCTGTGCATTTGAGAATAGACAACTTTTAACATTATGTCAGAAAAAAAATTGTAATAGCACAATGAGAGTAAATGATACAATTAGCTCGATCATTAAGAAAATCTGCAAAATGATTTGATTTTTCCAATCACTTTTATTAGTAGCTCAAATTTTGTTTACACAACTCTTTGCAAGTGAATTGTCGACTCTACTTCAGTTATGAAGAAAAAGAGATAAAGAATTCCTCAACGGTTCCAGACAGAAAAAGATACAACCTTGGATATCAGACACGGGTAGAACATTTCTCTCCAACACGTCAGTGACATGGAGCGTACAAACACAGTCTTCTCCTACATGTCCCTGAGCGGAGTTGATCGGCTGAACCAAAAAACAAGTTCATTTGCAGCGTGTGTACCTGGCCAAGTTAGTTCCATTGAATGAATGGCCATGTTTTAAAGCCATCTCTCTCGGTTTGCTGCCATATTATTATTTTTTAAGTGTTTTGAGACTCTAAAGAAAACAGTGATAGCCCAGGCCTCTGGATGCTGTGTTTTCTTCCTTTATTTGGCTGAGTCAGTGGTGTGTGTGGAGGGTGAGGAGCATGGGTTGGGAAGGTGGGATGCTGTTTACATACTGCAGAATGATAGAATTCTTTTAGTGATATATTATAGGCAGCATTAAAGTTCATACAGGAGATCTACACGACTATTTTTTCAAAGAAAGTGACGATTAATTTATAGTATTTACCTGCTCCATTAAAAATTATTTTGATAAGAATGTGTGCTTTTTATTAAAGCCACAAATTGATAGCTATAATGGGTACTTGAAAATATTACCTTAGTGTCTCAGAGAGATGCAATTTCCTTCTCCACCTCAATGGGCCTCATTCCTGACTGCATATTAGAATTTAAGCTCAGTCCTCACCCCAGACCAACTGAATCAGAAACCTGCAGGGAAGGGGAACATTGATATTTTTTAAGAGAACTCTCAAGTGATTCTACTGAGCAGCCAAGGTTGAGAACTGTGGCTCTAACTCCATGTGAGGACTACATGAGAGCTTGTGGGAGAGCGAGAGGAGAGGTGGGAGCTCTCAGGAGCAGGAGCACAACACAGCAGGAAGAGGAGGGGACTGACCAACGATGATGCTTAGAATGATGAAATATCTGAAATACCGAGAAGTCAAGGGAGGAGAGAGTTATGAAAAGAAGCAAGTATAGTCAGTAGTCTCTACGACTGCTGATAGTGTAGGAGGATGCAAAGACCAGTATTTTGGTCAATAAGGACCTTTGAGATATCTGAGAAGGCAGTTTCAGTGGAGTCCTGTGAGCACAAGCCAGCAAGGATGAGGTCGAGGAAGAAATGAGCCCTAAAAGTGATGGTCACGATTGTGGAAAATTCTCAGCGGGGAACAGGGTAGAAGGAAAGTTATTGTTTTTTTTTTCCCCCAACTTTATTGATATAATTGACATATAACATTGTATAAGTTTAAGGTATACAATGTAATTTGATGCATGTATATATAACAGTTAACATCCTTCACCTTGAGTAATTACTATTTTCTTGTTAATGGTGAGAATATTTAAGCTCCACTTTCATAGCAGCTGTCAAGTATACAATATAGTGTTGTTAGCTATAGTCACAATGCTGTATCTTAGATTACTAGAACTTATTCCTCTTATAATGAAAAGTTTGTACCCTTTGGCCAGTGTCTCTCCATTTCCCTTACCCCTCTGCCCCTGGCATCTACCATTCTACTCTCTGCTTCTAAAAAGAAAATATGGTCTAAACACACACACACACACACACACACACACATACACACGGAGTATTATTCAGCCATAAAAAAGAAGGACACCCTGCCATTTGCAACAACATGGATGGGCCTCTAGGGCATTGTGCTAAGTCAGACAGAGGAAGACAAATACTGCATGATCTCACATATGTGGAACCTAAAAACACTGAGCTCATAGAAGTTTGCTTGTTTCCATGGTGAAGGTTTATGCAGGCTTTGCAGGCCCAGGCAAGAGCCCACTGAAGGCACAAGAGAAAGGGAGGCTCATTCTGAGCAGTGGACCATGCCCGCTGGTCCCTCTGAGCTGGTGCTCGTTGATTCCTTGCTCTTCTGTGTGCTGCTTCCAGATATGCCTCCTTGAAATCTCTGTTCATTGTATCATTTCATGCTCCTCAGAAGGGTGCAACATATCCAGTCCAAACTCCTGTGACAAACCTTCAAAACCCCATATATTTCGAGCTTCTTTTATCTCTTTAATTTCTTTCCTTATACTCCCTTAATAATCACTGTTCTGTCCCCATCAGCTGGTTTCCTCACACACAACCTACGCTTATTCTTACTCTTCCTGAAATGTTCTGCTCAGTCTCTTTAAATATTCTCTATCATTAAGGCAAATTCAAGTTTCAAATCCTTACTGTTATCACAATTTCTTATTCTTTTATATGTTCACATCTTCTCTCTAGTTAGATACCAAAGATAGAACAAACTTGAGCACCTTGAAAAAATCCTCTGTAGTAAGGAATAACAAGGTTTTTTTTTTTTTTTTTTCCTGTAAAGAGCCTGATAGTAAATATTTTAGCTTTGGTGAGCCTCTTATGTCTCTGTCTCATATTCTTCTCTTTTCTTAACAACCCTGTAAAGATATAAAAACCCTAACTGACCACTTTTAGCTGTAGACTGCCGACCATAGCTGTATAGCATCAAACACTCAATGAGCCACCAGTAAACGACAGCAGATAAAAATAGCTAATGCCTAATGAGCACTTATGTGCCAAGCATTTAACGGGTGTTATTTCATTTAATCTCATTTAATCCTCACAAATCCTCCTGGGTTAGTTGCTATAATTACCTACATTTTTATATATGAGGAAACTGAGGCATAGAGAGTTTAAGTGTCTCACCCAAGATCATGTACTTTGCAACTTCAGTAGTATTTGATTGAGAAATAATAATTAGCTGATTGGGAGTGAGGTCGTCATTCCTTACTCGTGTTCCTCATAGCCACCAAGTATATTAAGACCATCTGGAAAATGTTTATATAATTATGTATATATTGTTGTTTTATGGGATATGACACACATTTTATTCATTCTCAACTTTCTCGTTTTATCAGTGCATTCGTGGGTATCGGGCTGAGGAAGCTGTGGAAATGTTAAGGAGCTTCTATAAACAAGAAAATCCAAATGGTCAGTTTTCCCTACTGTATATAATGTACCTCACTTAAAACAAATCAGTACGAAGAGAGTCTAACAGGGTCCCACCTCTTCTTCTTCTCTTTGTTTTTCCTGTTCTTTCACAGCACCAAAATCGAAGGTTCGGAAAAAGGAATGTCAGAAAATCTGAACTTGTTCTCCTGAAGGACTAACGCCCCTGGACAACGTTCCTGGACTGCAAGCTGGTGACATCATCGAATCATATGTTTTATACTGTCCTTAACCCATGGGAAAACGGTCTCTTATTTTTTGCTCTAAAGGAACAAACTAGCACTTTAAAAAAATCTGACAGTTGTAGCACCTAGGAAGACCAGGTGCTGTAGGGGTAAAAAAATAAAAATAAAAAATAAGGGATTGTAAACTGACAAGGTCCTTGCAATCTGCGAGGTCAACCAAGGGTTGCCTCGCCTAAAAAACAAATTAAAATAAAATAAATTAAATCTGACAATTGTAATCAACAATTAGCTTTCCCACAAGCTGAAAGAACATGTTAAGGGGGAAAAGTAAAGATTGAGGTTTTAGAAATTAGTCAGCAGTGCATGCACTTCCTGCCAGAATCATTATGCCTAGTCCAGGAGAGAGTTGACTCAGTGAGTGTGCATCCAGACTCAGTTACCTGGCGTATGTCTAGACTGGGCCATGCCACGCTACGGACACCTGCTCTAGGCCTGGCGTTTCAGAATCATGTTCTTCATTCTTTGCAGCCACTGTGTTCTCCCATGGTGTTAGGACCCGTGATGTCTTTGGAAATTGTATGTGAATTGTATACATACAGACCATGATTATAGGGTCCATGGAACTGATTTTTTGCTTTTATAAAGCACTTGGAGAAAAGGCATGTTTTAAAAATAAATGCTTAAGTGCCATTTTTAAATTATAGCATATTGCTATAATAAAACCGTAGTTATACCTTTTTTGAAGATGAATGGTCTTAAAAATAAAAGATAAAAGTATAAATAGGACAATTCCTTCTTTATTATGGAGCATTCATTCAATCAGTGAACAAAACAAAGAATCCTGCCCTCGTGGAGTTTGTATTCTAGCAGGGGGAGACAGATAATTAACAAAACAGATTATATAGCATGTGGTAAGGATTATGGCAAAAAGAAAAAAGAACAGGGGAGGGATGGGTGTGCCATTGGTAGTGGGAGGCTGGTTGCACAATTAAGTAGAATGGTTAGTTTGATCTGAAATCAAATACATTTCTTTCCTTTTACGAAAATCCAGATATATAATTTAAAATCTAAACTTGTAAAATGTGAACACAACCCTGGAAAGGTTATGCACGGCAGGAGGTCCCAGATGTTCATCCAACCGAGTGCAGTAAGAGTTGGTGCTAAAGAAAGTGTGCTTGGCAGAGCCCCGCTGCAGTGCACCCTGTCTGGCCAGAAGGGGGCCTCGCCGTTCCACCGGAAGCCCAGCTACGGGCCCTGGACGGCAGCAACTCCGTTGCATTTCATTTCTTCAGTGAACTCATTTCCTTGATGCAAAGCATCTGTATTTGTTGGTTCTGCCATTTGAGCGATGTCTCTGACTTGTTTGTTTTGAATTACATTACAGGCTGGAATGTAATTGTGGTGAAAGTATTTTTATGTTGCTGAGAGTAGCAGCTAATCACAGTTACATGCTTCAGAGGATTTATAATTGCTTGGTTTTGTGCGTGCATGTTTTTAACTGCATTTGAGAAGTTATATGGAGAAGAATATGTGTGATTTTAAATCTATAATAATGTTTCATGTAACTTCTCTTCAATTTCACCTGCTTTTAAAATTATCCTCTCATTAAATTTTACTGCTTTGACTAGTTTATCCGATTTGCAGTTGGTCATAATTCATTTCTGGCTCCTTATGCTTTCCTGCAAGCAGACTTCATTGCACTTATTGTATTTATGTCATTTTCTCGGGCATTATTTGTAGACAAAAAACCTGGAATCTTCACTCTGGAGAGTACCATCAAGTGAGTCTGTTTAAACATCTTATGCCAAGTAGACATTTGTTAAATTATTGATTGAAATTTTTGGGAAAATGAATAATAAAGGTAATATCTAAGATAAAAAGCAAAAGAAAAAATAGTATATGAGTATTTTAACCCAGAGATAGTCACTACTAGAAGGATTAAGACAATAATAAAACTGTAAATAGAGAAGAATAGAAAAGACCTACCAATATACATATGTTCTGTCTTTGTTGTGTTTTGGAGGATGGATATTTCTTAATTCCTAAGCATGGCTGAAAATTTAAATTTTGGTTATGACCTTTTTGATTCTCTCTCCAGCGATTAACTTATAAAAAAGTTTCTTTTAAATTTTTGGTCTTAGGCACAGTTTCCTCCACAGTTTTTTGGGGAAATCAGTTTAGACTGTATGTTGCAGGTTGGAGGTCGGCACTTCCAGTGCCAGTACAGGACAGTGGGGGCGGGCCAGGGAGGAGTGTAGACATTAAGGCTGCAGGATCCTGACAGCAGCTTCGAAGTGGTGGTGAGGAGCTGTGCATGTCTGATGAGGTGATCCTGCTTCCTGAACACCACAGTCTCCAGTTGCTCAGACATGGCTTAAAATAGTAAGACGCTCTAGTTCAAAAGATTGATTCCAATTGATGGATACTGATAGTGCCCACAAGACCAGCTGAGAGACCTGTTTTGTGTTTGAGATAATTCTGAAAGTTGCAGGATGCAAAAAGGTTTTAGAATCTGGGTCCTGTTCAGAGAAATTAGTGGGAAATGATTGCATCTAATTTGTTAGAGTATCCAATGTTTGCTGGTCTTTGCAACAGACTCTGCTGAGAATGGGTAATGCTTTGGCAGGCTTCAATCACTGATAAAAGATCATGTTAAAATATCTTTGCTCTTTTTTGTTACTTGACTCAAGCATCTCTTCCTGTGTTGTATTTGGAATATCATAGAGAGAAAGTACATGGCCAAGAACTCCAGTGTAGTCAAGAACTATTAATTTTTCTTTACACTCTATTTGGAAATAATTTCAAACTTATAGAAAAGTTGGAAAAATACCCATATATCTTTTATTCTTTAAACCTATTTATTAATATTTTACATGTTTTATCAATTTACTCTGTTTTCTCTATATATAAATTGCTCAAACAATAGATTGGATTGATCTGTCTATATGAATGTATATAATTGTTTTCCTGAACCATGTGGTAAAAAGTTACATACATAATACATCATAGGCCTTTACCCTGAAATGTTTCAATATTCTCTAAACATAGGATATTCTCTTATATAATCACAGTGTAGTTATTGACTTCAGTAAATTTAATGTTGATACACTTTTATCTAATATGCCACTTATATTCCAGTTTTGTTAGTTGACCCCATATTTCCTTTAAAGAATTTCCCCCACCCCCTGCAATATGGGATCCATTCTAGGGTCAGATTGTCATGTATCTTTAGCTTGTTTTAATCTAGGACCTTTTCATAGCCTCTCTTTGTTTTTTATGACGTTGACATTTTTAAAATCATACAGTCCTTCCGCCCTCCCCCAACCTTTTCTTTTTTATTATGGTGTTTTCTTATGATTAGATTCTGGTTATGCATTCTAGGTGATATGTTGTCAGAGTATCACATCTGGAGGTACCCCAAAGCCATCTGTCCCTCACTGGTGATGTTGACTTTAGTCATGTGATAAAGGCGTTATTTGATTTCTGCATTATATAATTATTGTTTCTTTCCTCCTTGCAGTGAATAAGCAGTTTTGGTAGAGAAATGATTACATTTTTAAGAGAAAATGTATTTGACATTGATGGAAAGGATGGGAAGATTATTGATATAAATTTCAAAGCAACCGTTAGATTATTTTATTGCATTCTTCCTCTTTTATTATACCTGCCAAAATTTACAAAATTCTTTTGCTAATAAAATAAACTATAATCACATTATAAACTATATATAAGTCTGACCATCGTACTGTATACCTGAAAGTAATATAAAAAGAAAATTTTAAATGTGGCTGCTTTAATAAAAATTAACAGGAAGCCTCAGAAATAAGCTCTTTCTCTCCTGATCTCCTCATCAACACTAGTAATTATATCATCTTAATTATATCAGACAAGATAGAATTTGGGAAAAATAGGCTTAAGATGTTCCTGGTATCGCAGATGGCTTATAGTGATCCAATAGGATATATAACTAGGTATGTAGTCATTTGGCCATAAAATAGTTCTCTTGGGTTTCCATAGAGACATCTAGACTTAAAATGTTTTAAGCGTTGCTACTTTTAAAATGAGTATCAGTAAAAATAGCAAAAGCCAAGGCTCTTTTTTTAAAAAGTAATTAAATTTTTTTTAAAGTAGTGAGGTTCCCGGTTGAAAATCCATGTCGAAGCCAAAGCTTGTCCTTCCCACTCATTCTGCATCAACTGGCCTTGAATAGCTCTGAGAGAAGAGGCATCAAGAACTGGTTTCCCTGCCTTTTGGCAAAAGGATAAGAGTACATTGACTTCATCTGTGAAGAAAACTGCCAACTATTTTCTTACTCCGTAATTGTTAATTGTATGTGGTGAGGAAAGGAGTGATGGGTGACGTTATTTTTATGGGTAAGACTGATAGAACTTTGGTGAAAGTTTGACATCTTTAGGATCTTATGTTTTTTCAAGTTGAGCTAATAAAAACAGGCTCATGGGATTATTTCATACCTGATTTTTAAGTGAATATTGGGCTAAAGACTTTGTGGTGTGGTTGAAGAAGCATGAACTTGGGAGTCTAGAGCAGGGGTAGGTAAAGTATGGCCCGTGGGCCAAACCCAGCCTGCTGCCTGTTTTAGTGCTGCTCATAAGTTAAAGGTGGTTTTACGTTTTTCTTTTCTTTGTATTTTATTTTATTTTATTTTTAATTCTTTAATGTCACCACATATTTGACCCCTTTTATTCCATCTCTATCCCCTCTTCCCCCTACCCTCTGGTAACCACTAGTCTATTGTCCATGTCCATGAGTTTCTCTTTGTCCTGTTGGCTTTACATTTTTAAATGGTTGGAAAAAATCAAAGAAAAATTTAGTGACCTTTGGACATTATGTGAAATTCAAATTTCAGTGTCCATAAATTAAGTTTTATTGGGACATAGCTGTGCCCATTTGTGTTTGTTTTGTTTTCATATTGTCTGGGGCTGCCTCTGTGCTATAGTGGCAGAATTGAGTGGTGGTGACACAGACCTATGGCTTCAAAGCCTAAAATATTTAGTGTCTGGCCCCTTAAGAGAAGGTTTGCTGCCCCTTGGCTTAGAGAATATAAAATGTCGAGGTTGGATCTCTAATGTGCATATTCAAGTTCTGTGACTTCGTAACTGAATGATGTGGCTCCTTGTGCAGCTATGGTGAATTGCTTCACTACCATGACTTTTTTTTTTTTTTTTTAAGTCAGTTTATAAATCCAAAAGAGAGATCCAAAACACTAAAATATTTATCTCGGCTTAAAATGTTCTGTTTCCTTATATACACTTTAAGAGAGTGGCAATGAGAAAAGATAATTTATCATTTTATTTGGTTTTAGAATAACAATGCATTTTATTTATAGTCATATATATTAAAAATGTTAACAAGTATGTCTCATCTTTGAGAACAGTACTATCATGGCAGAAATCTGTTGGACCCTTTTAAAAACCAAGACTTAAACAGAAATGCTCTCCATACCATCCCCATCACTGCGCCTCCTCCAGCGTTCTCTGCAACAGGTTGATAGCCCTTTGGTGCGAGAATCACGTACACTGAGCTTGAAGAAAAGACAAAGAACATTTATTAGGTATTTTGTGTTTTTTACCCAAAATCGCGTTCAGGACAAAGCTTTATAATAGACAGATATTATGTCTAAATTCTAAATTGCATAGTAAAGAAGTATTTGAGGGAGACTTCTTGGAGAAGAAGGGACACCATCTGTGCCCTTAAAGGCAGGTAAGGTTTGGGAAGGTAAGTAAGAGGTGCAGCATATGCAATTTTAGAGTAGGAGAATGACAGTTATGTGAAGACACAGGCCAGGCATGCTGGGTCCAAGCTATCAGAATTAAGATCTCCAACTTCTTACTGAGAAGAGTAATTTTTCATTCTCTTTCTGATTTGTGATTTCATACTCGTTCCTGAGATATATGTGGTTTGGGGTGGGGGATTGCCAAGGACAAAAGTTCTGACTCTATAGTCACTGAGGTAAAGAGACTGGAATTTGAGCTGTGGGGATGGAGTTTGTCAATAATAGAAGTCAATATTTACATAGAACTTACTAAGTGCCAGGCTCTCTTCATATGTTACCTCATTAATCCTCATAACAAGCCTATGAGTCAGTACTCTCATTATTTCCATTTTACATCAGGGAAACTGAGGCACAGGGAGGTTAAATAACTTGCCCAGAGTACTAAATGATCGTATCAGAATAGACTAGGTCATGTCAAGGCAACAACCCTCATGTTTTAGTGGCTTAGAACAAAGGTTTACTTCTCTCAGGCTTCACTTGTCTATCTCAGCAGAGGCCAGGGTCTTAGGCTAAACTCCACCATCTGGAACATCATCATTCATGTTGGCAGGAAGAAGAGAAGATGGCAAATAATGCTCGATGTCTAGAGCAGAGCTTCACAAACATAAATGTGCATATGAATTGCCCGGGGAGCTTGTTAAATGCACATTATGATTTAGGAGGTCTGGGATGAGCTTGAGATTCTGCATTCCTAGCAAGCTTCCAGGTGATTCTTATTCTGGTGGCTCATGGACCACTCTTGAATCAGGAGGGCTTACTGACTTTTGCCCAGAAGTGACACATCTGCTCATATATGAATTAAAGTCATCACATGGCCATGCCCACCTTCAAGGTGGCAGGGAA